ACTATGCTATGTAAGTTTTTTATTTCAAAACGACCAAATGATTTGGGCAGCTAGGTGGTACAGTGGATAGAGACCGGCCCTGGAATCAGGAGGACCGGCCTTAGACACTTGACACTTACTAGCTGTGTGACCCTGGGCAAATCACTTAACCCCATTGCCAAACAAACGAAAAATCAAATGAGATTAACCTATGTAAAGCTATGTTTTCAGCTTTGCAAAGCTTAAAACATTACATAAATTCTAACTATCTAGCTACAATAATAATAAAATATTATAATTGTTACTAGCATGTATTTGGTTCAGGGATTCTTAACTTTTTTGTGACATAGATCCTTTAACAGTCTGGTGAAGCCTCAGAATAATGGTTTTAAATACATAAAAGAAAAGGGAAACCAATTATTTTGAAATACAACCAACAAAATAGATATTTTTGAAAGTTCACAGACGCTAGGTCAAGAACAGCTGATTCAGACCCACTGTGTGATTCCACTCATATCTAGATACTTGGGCCAGCGATTATTTTAATGTTAGAGATTAGTCTAACCCCTTCTCCAAACAAGACTGTATCTGAAAAACCATGCCAGAGATAACAGCTGTAGGAGCTCTGAAGAACCACAGTGTTGTTTTCTGAGGTGAATGCTTTTTGTTTGGTTTGGGTTTGCTTTGATACAGTTCACATGTGATGGGAATGTAATGGTCAAACTCAAAACCAAATTTCTATCAAGACAAACGGCCTTATTAGCCTCCTTTAGGCTTCATAGAGACTGGATTAAGACACTGACAGAGAGAGGAGAGCACAGTGCAGGGATCTGCCCCAAGTGCGTGCAAAAATCAGGAAATAAGAAGGGAGTGGCCTAGCTCTAAACAGGCACATGATGTCCATGATGGTGAGGCATATTCACAATGGCCTGAGGGCAGGAAAGAGTCCAAACGGAGCCAGAGCTGAGCGCATAATAATCTGTCTCCCAGCCTGGACAGCACTAATGAGCGAGCAGGTTAAGTGAATAAGTCTGCCCTAAATTTTCACTGTCCACTTCTAGGACAATAGATAGTGATGTGCATAAGCAATGCCATTCTGACACAAGTCTTTTCCAGCTCTTTCTTCAGAACAATTCATAGAATACTAGGATGTCAGTCAATTAACGGGCATTTATTAAGCACTTATTACGCCAAGGATTAGAGATACAAATAAGGAAATTAACCCTACTTTCAAGGAAGTTGAGAAAACCTTGGAAATCATCCCATTCAAGACCCTTGTTTTCTGTTGAGGAAACAGAGGCCCAGATAGTTGCCCATGCATGGTCTGATAACCAAGAGGTTCACGTAACTCAGTTATCCTCCATATCCAAAGAATCCAAAGTTTGGATGGGTAATGGATTCCAGTAGAGAGAGTTCAGGTAACATGGCTGCTCACTCAGGTTAGACTGTTTAAAGTAAATGTCCCATTTTAATCAAAATATGAATGAATGAATGAATGAGTGAATGAGTGAATGAATGAATAAATGAGTGAAAAAAACTTATTGTTTTCCATGTGCAAAGCACTGGATATAGTGAATACAAAAGCAAGAGATTCCCTACTGTCCAGGAGATCACATTCTAATGCAGGCTACAACATATATAGGTAGTTGGTATTGGCTACAAGTCAGATAGAAAGGCCCAGTGGTCCTTAGAGGTGCAGCAACAAAGCAGATGGTAGTATCATTTCCACTGATGGAACCATATCTGTTTAAGATGTTGAACCATTTCAAACGGCTGAGGACTTTGGTGTTGAGAATTTTCAGGACTTCAGTAGCTATGGTTGCTGAGGAGATAGGGGCTCCGTCATATAGAAGGGAGAAGGGATGAGCCTTTAAAAGAATATAGAACCACAGATTTAAAGCAAGCAGGGCTCTTAGAGTCCAATCCCCTCATTTTACAATTGAGGAAACTGAGACACAGAGCAGTGAAGTTACTTGCTCAGGGTCATATAGTTAGTATCTGAGGTGAGATTTGAACCCAAGTCTTCTGATTTTGAGTCCAGTGCCCTAAATATTGGGCCATGCTTACCTAAGATAATGAGGAAAGAGAGAGGGGGAAAACAGTGTCAGGACAGTTAGGCAAAAGAAGAAAAAGAGAGAGATACAGCAACCAGTCTTGATGACACACCAAAATATTTCCATATTCTGGTTGCAGCATGTTGCTGCAGGGTACTCAGAAGAATACTTAGTTCTCAGAAGTGAAGGCTGTAACAGTAAATATTCTCATAATGAACTCCTAAGAAGGGCATGTTTTCCTTTCTGGAAAGTTTGTCATCTGCACATCTTCCAGAAATGGTCATCACATGGAGCTAATTGTCTGGGAGAGCTCACCTGATCCTCTCAACTACTAATATCTTTCTTCTCAAACTACCTTGTATTTAACTACTTTGTACATATTTGTCTCTATTAATTTTATATTTATGCTACATATGCATATAGTTACATATACAAAGATATGTAGATGAATGAAATAATCCCTACTCACAAAGAGCTTACATGAGGGAGACAACAGATATCTATTTATCTATCTATCTATCTATCTATCTATCTATCTATCTATCTATCTATCATCTATTTACCTATCATCTATCTATCTATTTATCTATCATCTATCTATCATCTATTTACCTATCATCTATCATCTATCTATCTATTTATCTATCATCTATAAATCTATCATCCATCTGTCTATCTATCTACCATCTATTTACCTTTCATCTATCTATCATCTATCTATATATCACCTATAAACTATCATCTATCTATCTATCTATCTATCTATCTATCTATCTATCTATCTATCTATCTATTTATCTATCATCTATTTACCTATCATCTATCATCTATCTATCTATCATTTGTGGCTATGGATTATTTCATTCTTTGACTTTGTATTCCTAGCATCTAGCATGGGTCCTGGAACGTGTTATTATTCAGTTGTTTCAGTCCTGTCTGACTCTTTGTAACCCCTTTTGGGGTTTTCTTGGAAAAGATATTGGAGTGATTTCTCATTTCCTTCTCCAGCTCATTTTACAGATGAGGAAACTGAGGCAAACAGTGTTAAGTGACTTGCTCTGGGTCACACAGCTAGTAAGTGTCTGAGGCCAGATTTGAACCCAAAGAAGATGAAGCTTCCTGACTCTGGGCCCAGCACTCTTTCTACTGCATCACCAGATAGGAACTTAATTAGTAGGAACTTAATTAGTACTTGTTGATTGATATTAGAGATCTGTATGAACTGGACAGCAGAAAGAAGGGAAAGGAAACCCAGATACTCCCAGGGAGAGAGTTACAATGCTTGTCCCCTTACCTTCTTTTATTTGCTCACTCTTCCTTGATTCCCCAACAGCTCTGTGAGGCTGATGTCTTTTGTTGTTGTTCATTCATTCAGTCATGTCCGACTCTTTGTGACCCCGTGGACCATAGCACACCAGACCCTTCTATGGTCCACTATCTCCCAAGTCTGTCCAAGTTCACATTCGTTATTTCTGTGACACTATTTATCTATCTTATCTTCTGCTTTCCCTTTTCCTTTTGCCTTCAATTTTTCCCAACGTAGGGTCTTTTCCAATACGTACTGTCTTCTCAGTGTGCGTCCAAGATATTTAAGCTCCAGCTTCAGTATTTGCTCTTCCAATGAGTACTGTGAATGAATGAATGAATGAATTAAAGGTTGATGTCTGCTGCCCAATAAACTGAACTTTCAGATGACTTGGGCCTCAAGTTTGTGCTCTTCCAAGCTCTGCCTTCTGATATTCATTCCTATTCCTTTAATCTGTGTAACACTTAAAGTCCTGCTCAGACACCTCATTGTGATATAGAGGTTATTCTTGGGCCTTTGAGGGCTATGCCAATGAATCACAAGCTCTGGTTGGTCATACCAAGCTGGAGAGGCTTCAGCCTGGTAAGATCCAGCAGGTCACTCAGCTGAGAACCAAGAGAACACAGGGCAGAAAGACTTTCACTCAAGTGAGCTACTCATTGACTTTTTTGTGTTTGTTTGACCCCATCAATTAGCAAAATGCAATGGAGTCTTCATCTTCCTCAATGGCAGGAGCACGTACACTGATGAAGTCATCTTTCCAAGCATCCCATTGATCAAATAATTAATAAGTGTTTATTAAGTGCTTACGATGTATCAAGAAAAGGGACGGAGAACTGCTTCTGCTTTGCCAGTCTTGGCTTGGGAACCTCATCCATTTTTTATCAAAAGCACACTTTATACAATACTTGACAGAAGTAGATAAAAATAGCTTTTTGCCATGAAAGATAGGTTTCTCAAGGTATGGAACAACAGAGTGTGGTAAGAGCAGCAGTATTTTAGGTATGAAAAGTGCACTATTATCCACAAAGAAGTATTAGTTAGAACACTGAACTGGATATCTGGAAGTTCAGCATTGACTGATGGGACATTCAGCTAATGATGTCATTTCCCTGGGCCTTAGTCTCTAGGTCTGAGGATAGGAGTTATGTTTCTTGTTACTTTAGTAAAGTGTTAAGATATAAATGATTCTCTAAACTTTTTTTTTTAAATTAAGGAAAGAAACACAATGAAATCATATCTTTGGAGTTGCCTTCAGGGAGAAATTTGGACATTTTTTTGTGTATCATGAGTCTCTTTGGGAGTCTAGTGAAACTTACAGACCCCTTTTCAGGATAATTTTTTTAAATTCATAATTGAAGGAAACAACAAATTCTAGTTAGAGGGTAGTGAAAATAAAGATATTTTTCTCCTTATCTGAGTTCACAAAGTCCCTGAAATCCATTCATGAATCCTTTGAGGAGTTCATAGACCCTATGTTAAGAATGCCTGACTGAGAGGAAAGGTGTGATGATGATGTCTAAGGAACCATCATATAGAAACATCGAGGTTAATGACATATGGGTTTTAGGGAGGATTAGTAAGCTCCTCCCTCGAAGAGAGTAAGAACTGCTGGAATGTCTAGACCCTTAGTATCTGACCTCTCTTTTCTCTTTTCTAGGGGGAGAATGCGGTTTGCGAGAGTACTCAGAAGTCAAGACAGTGACAATAAAGATTCCCCAAAAGAACTCCTAAGAAGGGCGAGGAAGAAAGGGGGCCAACCAGCCTGCGTCAGGCCCTCTCAATGTTCTCTGTGAGGCCCAGCACTCAGGAATACAAAGTGTTACACAGTCTTTATTTAAGAATTTAAATGATAACCTATATGCCAGGCAATTCAATGCATATATAAAGCAAACCAACTGTGCCAGGTTGACTGGCATTCTGTGAGAAACCACTTTAGTATTACCAAATAATGAAGGGAAATACAACAAGGGTTAAGACTTACGGCGTCAAACACATTCAGCTTCCCTTCCTAGAACCTGGGGTCAAGTTGGGGAACTGTTTCATTTGATGTCCAAAGGGCTTTCTTCTTGAGGAATGGTGATCTTTTTCATTTCCTTCATTCTTTTTCTTCTCTTCTCTCCCCCCTCTCTCCCCCCAACTACCTTCCCCTCCCCCAAGAAGAGCTCCTTAGCTGAGCTCATTTGGGGCAGATGTTTGGGCCGGGAACAATTTTCCAAGGTTTTGCAGCCAAATTACCGTTTCATGTTATCCATTTCTTCAAAGTGAAACATGAAATGGTTTTAGTTAGAGCCAGACCAGACTAGAAACGCCAAGAGCTGGTATACTGCAGATGTATTAAGAAGCCAGAAATCATGATATTCCTGACTTTCCCTGGTTTTCTTTCTAACCATCATGCAATAAGAGATAGAAATCAGGGAGATGCCAATCGGGCAGGCAGCATGGGTAGTTCACCAACTTCTGAGCTTCTGGTGTTCTTTTCTTTTCTGTTGTTGAATTTGTTTGCTTAGATGGCTAAGATGTTTTAAGAAAAAAAACATTTTTTTTAAAGCCACACCAAAAATAATAATAACGTGAAGGTGTAGGGGTACAAGAAAAGATATCAGATACTTAGCAGAAATAATTCAGTTCCCTTTTTTGTGTCAATGGTTTTTAAAAATTAATGATCTATAAATTTGGAGTCTACGGGCTCCTCAGCTCCTGTGCCCATCCAACCTGATGCCCATCCAACAAATGGGACTTTGGTCCATTGAAACCTGCCATGATCCAGATTCACTGGAAATAGACAAACCTGGCAAGTTGTGTGGCCAAGCCCTAAAGTTTCCCTTCTGAACATTCCAGCATGCCACCTTCAGCAGCTTATTGTTGCCAATACCACTCCCAATGGGTTTGTGCCCTGGCATTTTCCCCTTGACCTTGCCTTCCAGTAAGGTTTGGGTCTGCAATGTGGGAAGCATTAAAAAGGCTGTGCTCCTATCCCCTCTGAAATACCCATTCCCCTCCTACTTCCTAATGTAACAGCAGGTTCTACGTGGACAGTATTAGCTGCCTTTCCAACCTTTCTTTTCCCCTTCTTCATTACCAGCTGCAAACGTCCATTCCTATCTGTCATCTTGATGAAGAACAACATTTATTTAAAAGTGCCAAGCCTAGCCTAGAATATGTGGAATAATGGGCAGATATATATATATATATATATATATAATATATAATATATATATATATATATATATATATATATATATATATATATATATATATATATATATATATGTATATGTATATCCTTCTATGTAACAGTTTTCAGCTTCCTAACCATACCAGTCTTCTATTTATAACTATCCTCTCTTCGTGGATATTTTCAGGCCATCTGTATTTGCTGTTATTTGCAGATGATGGTGCATTCACAAACCCTGGTCCCAAGACAAAACACCCTGTTTCTGAGTTCTTCAATTGAATGTCATGCTTTCCTACTACTGTAGTGTATGTCTGAGCAAAAACGTCCACTAATCCACTTGTTGTCTTTGAACTGAGATAGAGAATGTGAAAAGGGAGATTTATTTCTTTTAATTTACTTAAAAAGAAAACTTCTGTGCTAGCAATAAAGCATTTATATTGTGTACTCCTTGGGATCATTTGGCTGTGTTTGTGTGCCTGTATGTTATTCTGAGTCGGTTTGGGTCATTGCTTGGTTTCTCAGCTCAGCAGCTGTCTTTGCAATCACCATTAACTAAGGTTGGGAATATATTATTTTTTATAGAAACTTATGAGTGTTGCCAAGATCCTTTCTTTCCTGACTTCATTTTCACAAGTGTGTACATATCTGTATAATACCCATCTATTAGACGTATATGCATATCTATACATACACATATGTGTATATATATATTTGTACAATACACAACTATTATACATATAGGTGTATGTGTGCATATACACATAGCTGTGTATATATCTGTACAATATACATCTATTGTATGCATATGTGTATATATATGTATCTTGATGCATTTGTATATATGAACTTGTGTGTGTGTATATGTATATACACTTTTGTGTATGTACCTTTGTATGTTTGTGTGTGCTTTATGTATATTTATATATGTGTGCATGGGTACTATCTTTGTGTGTTTAAGTGTATATGTTCCTGTGTGCATGGCTATATGTGGCAAACCGATATAACTGTGTGACATATTTCCTATGAAGTTTTCTATCAAAACTCAGCCTCAACTTGAACTATGAATGAAACTAAAATTATCAGTGGGTCAGGCTCTAGCACTGTCAAGTTCCTGTAAACATGGGCTGGGCAGAACGAGCAGAATTGTACTTACGAGGTTGTTTGCACTAGTTTGATTTTTTTAAAAAGTATACCAAAGTGAATGGAGAAAACGGCCAGAGATGCGTTGTAATATTATTGCAGCTGTATGAAGAAATGTGACCATGCTTCTCAGTTAGAGCCGCCTTCTCACTCTGTGGTCTCAAAGCCTAGTTGTTACAGGGGAATTCCTGCCTTTTGGTGCTATAAGACACGTCCTTTCAACCTGCCCCATCCCAATTCAAGTTCTGGTCAAGTGATACAAACATCTGATGACTTGCCCTCTGAGTGGATGACACTGAGTCACTAAGGGGCTAAGTTGCTCGTGGGCGAGTATAGGACTTGAGACAGCACAAAGATGAATAAATCAGGTCCTAAAGAAAGGCACACTAAAGCCTAGACAGATTGGGGCTAGTCTTCATTCTGCCTGTATTCAGAAGACTAAGCTCTCAGAAAGAGGGGGCACATAGCTGCTATTTTGAAGCTCTTCGGAAAATGCCATCATTTAAAATAATGTTTCCTATGTACATCTAATCCATAGACAATGGGATATGTGAAGAGGGAATGAAGGAGTTTGCTGGTTCCTTTTTTAAAGAAGCCACCAGACCCTCTTATTTGTTCAAACCAGTCAAAGATGTATCTTTCCCCCGAGCCCACCAAGATACATATTAGATCTGAGATACTGAGATGTCACTTGACATAAAAGTAATGATGGAAACATTACATAAGTCACTAATGGCTAACACATGAGTACTATTATCACAGCATCTTACTTACTCTTAACCCTCAAAATGTCTATACCTGCACCTTTTCTCTGACAGTCCCAGAGCTTTTTCACGTTGAGGGTGTTTCACTTCTATTCACACAATATTTGCACATCCCTAGAGAATTAAGGGGGGAGAGGATACTTATCCTCCAAACTTTGGCCACGTAGAAATAATAGAACAGAGGAGTTCAATGATTACAAGTGATATTGCAAGGTCGTGACAGACCCAAGCTTTGAACCAACACTTTCCCAGTGTTCTAACCATCAGGACACACTGCCTCTTTGTGTAAACTCTTTGTATTTAAACTTAGCACTCCACATTCCCTAGCCTCTGATCTTTATGATTAGTGTGTGGGGGCTTGGTTCCCCTTAGGCAGGATGAGAGCAAACTCCAGTTATTTTTTCATGGACAAACTGCAGTGCAATTGAAGGGAATGAATACACATTTTCAAATCCTATAGCCAGGCAGAGCCCAAATTTGTCAGCTGCATGGACCATTTATAAATGATACTCAGTCCCAGGATAGTGGGGAATGAAGAGGGGATTAGGAGCAGGTATTGTCACAAACATTCTTTTTAATATTTTTTTAAAGTCATGAACAGACAACTATACCATGCATTATGAATAGTAGAAAACCAAGCAAAAATATACAGGTTAGTCTTACCAAAAATCAAATTAAACTGTTGCTTGAATGTTTAATTTTCTATTGCTCATCTTAAAAAAAAAATAGAACATGGCTCAGTTAGGAGAATATGGAACTATATAGAATAGAGCTATATAGAATGAGCAGTGGATACAGTGCCAGGCCTGGAGTCAGAAAGTCATCTCCCCGAGTTCAAATCTGGCTTCAGACACTTACTAGCTATGTGACCCTGGGCAAGTTATTTAACTCTATTTGCTTCAGTTTCCTCCCCTGCAAAATGAGCTGGAGAAGGAAATGGTGAACCATTCTAGTATCTTTGCCAACAAAACCCCAAGTGGGGACAAGAAGAGTCAGACACAACTGAAACAAATCAACCATAACAAGAATACAGGAGTATGACGTATATAATCCCTGTTCTCAAGCAGAAGACAATTGATTGTATGAAACAGTATCAAATAACACAAGGCATTTTGCAACCCGGTGCTCACTTGTGCTATTGTTGTACGTACCGTGTACATGCCATTGTTGTACTGTTGTTTTTTTGTTGAGTTGAGGAGAAAGAAGAATGAACAAAGAAAGCAGAGAGGATATGGTAAAAGAAAATAAGAGGAGAATTGTATCACAGGAGGCAAGGAAAGAGAGAGGTTTGAGAAAGAGAGACAATATGGTACAATGGAGACAGCACTAGATCTGGCATGAGGAGGACTGGCTCTGTCATTTATTTGCCGCATGACCTTAAACCAGTCACTTTATTTCTCAAAGACTCCATTTTCTCATCTATGTTGGCAAAGCAATAGTTACACTTCCTATTCCATGGGGGATTCTCAGAAGAATTAAATAAAACAATATATGCAAAGTGCATTATAAATCCTAAAGTGTATAGAGGCATAAACTACACATATTAAGGAGGAGGTAACAGAGAAGTTGAAGAGAACGGGGATTATAGGATTGAGCAGAGGTGGAGTCCCTTTTGTCCAGATTGCCCTAGGTGTGAGTAGTCTACCTAAGAAAAAAGTCTCTTTGTCCAAGACTTAAGTGATCAGAGTCAAGTCCCTCAGCCCCTCATTACAATAGGTCCACCTCTCATTATAATATTCATTCTTCTCATTAATTGTTAATCAATCAGAGTCAACTGCCACTGTCAGGAACACCCACTCTTCCAAGAGCATATAAGCAATAAATGGGTCCTATGGGCGAGTCTTTGGCATTTGAGAGTACCACTAACCCCTTTTATTAATTACATGTTAGCATGATTAATAAAATGATTACCCAGAAACTATGTCTCTTGAACTTTTTATACACCACAGGAACATATATTTAGAACAGGAGGGGGCCTTATGGACCATATAGTCAACCATCCTCATTTTACAAATGAGGCGACTCAGGCTCAGAATGCTTGGGTGATTTACCCAGCTGGTAAGGGTCAGGGTAGCATATGAGCCCAAGCCTTGCTGACTCCAATCTGAGCATTCTATCCACTGTGCCACCATCTGCATCCCTAATTGTAACAGAATATAAGCAGAAGAAATCATTCTTCATTGGAGACGTTTACTGGATTCTGAAATTAAATTTTGAGAACTCAGAATTTAAATCTGGACCACTGGCTAAGGGTGGCAATCAGTAGTCATGATGCTTCCCCTGAACTGCACATATTTGTAATATGCTCTTCAATGAATGCTGCTTTAGCTACCACTGTACCTCAGGGGTTAGGAAGGTTACCTCATGGGAACAAACACAAAAACATAAAAGACCAACAGGCAAACACTGAGCCCCTAGTCTGTGCTTAGTACTGTGAAAATACTCTGAGAGATGGAGAAAAGCACAGGACATGATCCTTGACTTCCAAGGGCTTCTCATTTAAATTGAAGTGAAGATTGGTACACATTAAACCGTTGAGATATAAGCAGGGGATACCTGTTTGCCCAGGGCTACACTGAAGCATGCCAGCTGCTTTCTCATCTGGCTGGAGGATGTCTATTTGCCCAAGGCTACTGAAGTATATGGTGCTTCTCAGAGCTGGCAGCAGCAGAGGTTGGCATTTGCCTGCTCCACCACACTGGGCTCAGGATCTCCCACTGGTTTGCTGAGGTAGGGCTTACTACTGGTTTTCTTGGATATTTCCTGTCCTGAACTATGCTCCCTTTTCACCCTAGTGAGATGGACCTTTCTTGCTGCTTTTCCCAGTTTCTTGGGCTAAAAGATTGTTTTACCCTATCTTTTTGCTGGTTTTGTTGTTCCAGGATTTATTTGGGGGCTCTATTTTATGGTTGTTTGGAGGTGAGTATGAGAGAATTATAGCAATTACTGCTTACTCCACCATCTTGGTTCCTGGAAGTCCTGCAATGGATAGAGCTCTAGGCCTAGAGTCTTGAGTTCAAATCTAGCCTTGGACACTTATTTAGCTGTGTGACCTGTGTAACCTCTGTTTGCCTTAATCCACTGAAGAAGGAAATAGCA